CACTCCGTTTCACAGTAAATCCCTGTGAAGTGTGCTGGGATGTTTTCCTGATGTGAAAAATGCTATACCAAATGCAAGGATTATTATGATTACTACTGACTGGGGTTTCTTTGCCTATATTTCACAACCCTGTAGTGTACTACTGTTCTGATTAGTCTGTAATTATAAGGCAAATACCATTCTTTAAACTACAATTTAAGCTTAAAAAAAATTTCTAATTCACTGAGATGAATGAAAACCTGAGTTATAGAATTCAAATGATATTAGATATTAATTGGCTGCTAGGGAGTAAATGAATACCTGTTCGTTCACAATGTAGTTTATAATAATAATCCTTGCATTTGATAAAGCATCTTACAACAACGTTAAAGTGTCTCATTGCGCTTAACATCATATCATATCTCATGACTTTGTGGAGTCCTGTAGCTCAGTGGTTAGAGCACTCGCTTTGCAAGCGAGAGACCTGAGTTCAATTCCAGGCAGGGCGAAACCTTGGGCAAGTTTCCTTACTCCACACGCCTAATAATAATCCCTCCAAAACCCAAAACAATAATAAATTGGTCATTTTCAATCTACGACTGTTTGTGGGACATTGCTGTGCGCAATTGGCTGCCGCGTTCGCCCACAAATATACAGTCAATTCACTTTACAGTATATTCTGTGAAGCGCTTTGGGACGTCCTCCCGACGTGAAAAGCGCTATATCAAATGCAAGGATTATTATTATTATGACAGAGATGGACTCACTCCCCACAACTTTTCCCAATTATAAAGTTATAAATTATAAATATAAATTATAAATATAGCAAATTCTCTTAAGAGGCAACTTAAAGAGTTTTGACTTTTTTGTGGATAACAGCTTGATATTTATAGAAACCTTTAATGAATAGCTAATAATAAAATTGTACTCACTACCTCTCTTAATGAACACCTCCTCATCTAGTACACATTTATACTTTTTGTCCAACGTATATCGCTTTACTTTTGTCTACATTAAAATTTATCTTCTTCAGCCAGTCTCCGTATGTCATCTGATTAAACGGTCCAGATCTTCTTGCAGCAGAAAAAGGGAACCTGCAATATCACTCAATCTATACTGATGTACTAACAGATGTACTAATTGATACACTACTGTAAAAACATGATATGTTTAATGTCTACATTTGTTAGTTTCTGCAATGTATGTACTCTATGGATCACTGCTGATTTCTAATGGCTAGCTTTATAAAAGGGGAAAGTTGTCAGGTAGGTGGAAAGAAACAAGGGGGTGCTAAGCAATGGCACACAAAATAGACACCAGATTGGATTTAACAGAGAATAAGAGGACACAAAGAAAATACTGTACTAGAGGTTAATCCCCTACGATCAGCTGTTTCCTGGCAAGGTTTTGGGCTGAGCCTAATTATTTTGGGTTGAAATCGATTTGCATAAAGATAAAAAGGCTTAAGAACACAAACCCAGCATGCTGCATTTTGTTTAACTAAAGATGGCCAAATATATGGTAGATAGAATCTCAATGTAGGATTGATTTCCTCTTCAGTAATTGTCATTTTTTAAAATTATTTTCGTTATTTGGGGAAAACGTGTTCAGCATGCCGTGTAGGGTGATGTTCAACCTTTGTACAAAGATTAAGGATTCAGCTTTCAACTAGGAATAGTTATTGACATTTGGTATGATTCTTTAATGTTAATTTGATGAATTTTAGTTATAAATTAAATTAGTGTTGAGTAATGAAAACCAATCGTGAACTGTGATTATAATCCACTTCCTGAAACAAAATGGGTTCTGTGTATTCACTGCACTTGTCTACTACCATTTACTTAAAAAAACATATTTTATTATGGTGTTTATGTATTTAATGTTCTGAAACAGTGTTTCATTTATTATTATTATTATTTGTGTGAAGAATGTAGTTTAACTCCATGTGTGTTTAACTTTATCTATTACACAATACCATATATTGGTATGTTTCTGGTCGATACACTGGGCCTCTTATATGGAAATATTTTAGCTATCAAGATTAAATCTGTATTTATGTAGTGGTGATGGTGAGAGTGGGGAGAAATAATTTATCAATGTAAATTGGCAGGTATGTACTGAATCATTCAAATTATTTTATCTCAAAAAGACATGTGGGAGAGAGAAAAAAAATCTCAGTCAAAAGAAATAGGAAAAATTAGCAAAATGTGAGGCAAAATTGTTCTGAAAGGATCATTTATTCACCCAAATTATACAAAGTTCTTAAAAATTATAGTGGGAAAAGAACACCTTTGTAGTATCCATCAATTCTTGACTCTTATGTTTTATGCTTCAGAATAGATGAACAGAATATTGAATTTTTGGTTTCATAGTGAGGAATGATTAAGTGGAAAGCTAACACTTGAGCAAAGCTCTTAGTGCAGCACCCAATATTTGATGCAAAAAATCCTTTCATTTTCCAGATTTGATTTTTTATTTATTTTTTCTCAATTCTAACTACTCGTTAACTCCAGTTCTGCCATTTTATTTGTCACCTTTGTGAAAAATAATGCCAAACGTTCCAAACCCGCACAGCAGGAAAAAAAGGCTGGCCCCACTGAACTACTGGGATCAACCACAAAAGAAGCATTGGACAGCCAAAATAGTTGAACTACACGCACTTCAACGTAGGCAGCATCTTTTTCATTATAGGTCGACTTAAAATGGAAGGCATTCCATCAGCACCATCTGTGTAAACCCAGCACCAAAGCTATTTAGACAAAACAGATCTTCTTGCTCTGTGTTAGAATCAAGGTCACAGAGATAAAAGATTAGTGTGGGGTTTGTGTATCATGGCTGTAGTTTTGGGTGCATTCATTCCAAAATAAAGTTTATGCAGTTCAAAGGAAATAGATTGAGACGTTTAAAAATAGTCCAATACAATTTCTTAAAAGCATACAGTACATTTTGTATGCAATCAAATCTCAATAACACAAATTACCATAAAGCACATACATTCCTAAAATATATTGTTAATCTGGTCACACAAATAATCTCTGAAACAACAAAAAGCATTGAAAAACAAAGTACTGAAATCAATAAGAAAATGTTTAAAATATTTGACGGCAGCTAAACTGGATTTTGCTTGGGGCATTGGAATTCCATCAAAATTCATATTGAAAATAAATAATATAACTGAGGAGTTTGCAGCAACATCATAAAGTGATAAATAACTAATTATAGTCGACCGACACAAACTCGGAGTCTGATAACGGGATAATATTTGGCATTGGTGCTACAGAGCAAATATTGTGCTTTTATGAGCTTATTTTCCATTCCGCCATCTTAATATGGCAACTGATCCATAGAAAATTTGGTGATGTTGGAATGACCTACACAATTAGGGAACAACAAAAACTGGGCAATTACCTCATGAAAACAAACTATCTACCATCACATGGGTTTTCATAACTGAGAACACAGGCTGAGAAATTCAAATTCTGGATGGATAATAGTGGTTTGCAGTTCTGCCTGTTTCCATAGTCGTAGAAAGCTTGTGGAATTAACCATAATGCAAAACATTTATGAAATAATTGTCAAATCTAATTATATTCTATTCCTCCAATAGAATAAATGTATTATTTTATGATAATAGGATAATGTAATGATAGTCAGTCTCAAAATGTTTGCCAAACTAACTCTCTTTTCAGATGCTGTTTAAACTGCTGCAGATGTCCAGCATTTTTTCATTAATTAGATCTTAATTATTGCTGCTACCAGTATTTATAATGAACAGAAGATGCATTATCATTAAAATCATTCTAAACCTGTACTTATAGAATTATGTGGTACATTACTATTGCTGGTTCAAATCATGTGATTCAATTGTGGGAACTGGCATTCATCACATCCACCTTGCTAACCCATAGGCAACACCCACCCTCAGATATCACTATCCTTCTATACATCATAAAGAATAATATGTTCTGAAAGGTTCTCCAAGACAGCAATGCAGTTTAGGATTTATGTACATTGCTGCATTGCAGATATATGTCATCCTGCATATAATGTGGTTGTATATTTTTGATCTATTCCGAGTGTCATTGTTCCTATGTAATAGCTTTTTTCTCTCTCTTTCAAACAATGAAATCTATTAGTACAGTCAATTATTGCAGCTTCTGATGCATTACTTGTTTTAAAAATATGGATACAAAATTATTTTTATAGCCACTAGCACTGATTTGGCTATAACGTCTTTCTTATCTACCTTCTGAAAATTACCAGAGTGCAAAAGTTTAGTACCATGGCTAAAACTATTTATAAATGTTGGATATTTAACCTATTATTATTATTCAACATAAGGGCTACAATCAAAAATATTTCTGTAGGCCCCTATTTAGCGGCACAATTTAGAAGATGGTTATAAAGCCTGAAATTAGGAAGGAAGTAATGTTAGAAAGGAGATCAGAGTCTCGACTATAATTAAAACGCTAAAATCTGCAGTAGTTTTGCTAGTTATATTAAAATATAATTGTCATATTCCTTACAATTTATTCATCTGAACATTGTAATTAATAGGACTCCTGCCTTTCCTGATTCAGAAATTCACTTTTTGTCTAGTATGCCATCACCTCAAATGCAACATTTAGAAACTGAATGATGAAGCAGATTTTGAAACATGCAATAGAACAAAAGTAGTGCAGAACAAAGGGAAGCATCTTTAAAATAGAGCTAAGATGGTTAAAAATGAAATCAGAAAACATTTCCTCACGAAAAGAGTTTTGAGAATGTGAAATGAACTCTCCTGAACATCACAAATTAGATAACGTGGAAAGTAAGGGTATTAAAGGGCATGGAGAAAAAGTGAATAAACGAAATTACAAATATAAAAAGGATCAATAATCTAGTTAAATGGCAAAACAAGCTCAAAGGCCAAATGTTCCTACATTCTTTTGTCTGGTTTATAAACTAATATATATTTTCATTTTCTTAGATATATGAGATACAAGTTACTAAGGCATACCTTTATAGATATTACTTACCCTTCTCCCCCTACTTTTGTTATTTTCAGACGAAAGTCAACAGAATTGTGACTTGGCGGTTTCCACTTCAATATATCATCACATCGGCCAGGTTTGTACCTCTGTTTGAAGTTAAAAAAAATTGGACTTAGCTGCACATACTCTTTGTGGCTACGTAAATTAAACAAACTCAGAATTTCAACTAATCAGACATCTTTTAATGCAAACTATTAAAATACCAAATTTAAGGAATAAAACATATATTTTATTATTAGGTCTATGATTCTGAGGTAAGAGTCCATTCAATTGACTATATTTTCTGGGTGAATGACGCTTATACACATTGGAGCCCCAGTGTGAATGAAGTCAGGCCGTCAAAAGTTTTAATTGCATGCAAAGTGCGTGGAGAAAATGAGTGAAAGGAATTACAAATTTAGAAAGTATTCATAAACTAGTAAAATGGCAGAGCAAGCTCAATAGGCCAAACAGCTCCCTCCTGTTCCTACATGTACAAGATTTTTTCCAACTTTGAAATGGCAGTACAAAGTGGTGATTGGATATTGTTAGGTACAGAGTTAATGAAGAGAAGACAGAGAGAGATACACACACACACACACACACTCAATAGAAAGTCAGAGAGAGAGAAATTGTATTGGGAGAGAACAGGGCCAACACTTTGCTGAAAGATTTATTACGACAACTAAAGTTTGCTTATATACAGCAAAGTTAAAAACAAGTTATGGTTCGTTCTTTACCTTGTATTTTCTGTAATAACCCATTGTATGAAAACATATTTGAAAGGTGGATATGTGTGTTAAATTCACTATTAAAGACATTATGAATTCCTGTGGAATACCAGAATGAATTACACCAATGTCCTACTACATTTCAAAATACTTTTCATAATCCATCAAAACATACAACCATAGATGTTTATAGTGCAGAAGACCTTTCGGACCATTGTCTCTGTGCTGGCTCTTTTAACTGCAATGATTTTATTCTCCACTTACCTCTCTTTTCCCCATAACCCTGTAGTTTACTCCTTTTAGTTATCTATCTAGTTCGTTTTTGAAAGATTATATGGATTATGACTCAACCACCTGTCCCGGCAGAGCATTCCATATCCTAATAACTCCGTGTGTGAGAACATTTCTCCTAACTTCCCATAGACCAAACCATCTCTGATATCATCCAAGTAAATCTCCTCCGACCCACTCTTGACATCCTTCCTAAATGGGGTGACTAAAACTGGACACAACATTCTAACTGCAGTCTAACAACAAGATTACACGTCAGGAGGACGTCCCAAGGCACTGGTCAGTATACAGCATTTCAGACCCGAGATGAGTCAGGGGGGAGAAGGGAGGGGAGGGGAAGGGGGATGACCAATGGCATGGAAGAAGAGGAGGATTTTGAGGTGGGACTTGAAGGAGGCTAAAGAGAGGGCGAGGTGGAGTGATTGGGGGATGGAGTTCCAGAGGTTGGGGGCAGAGTGGCTGAAGGCTATCCCGCCAATGGTGGGGTGGGTGGGTCGGGAGATGTGGAGCAGGCCGGAGCCGGCTGAGCGGACGGAATGGGTGGGTTGGTAGGCGGTTAGGAGGTCATAGCGATAGGGTGGGGTGAGGCCATGGAGGGCTTTGTAGGTGAGGGCCAGGATCTTGAACTGGATCCTCTGAAGGATAGGGAGCCAATAGAGTCGGGCGAGAATGGGGGAGATGGGGTCACGGAGTTTGGTGAGGGAGAGGACACGGGCTGCAGAGCTCTGGATTATCTGCAGCCTGTGGAGGGAGGAGTTGGGAAGGCCGACAAGCAGGGTATTTGCATAGTCGAGCCTGGAGGTGATGAAGGCATGAACAAGAGTTTCAGCGGCCTAAGGGGTGAGGTAGTGGCGGAGTCGGGCGATGTACGGAGGTGAGGGAAGGCAGAGTGGGTCATGGCTTGGATGCGGGGAAGAACAGACAGTCAAGGGTCGAACAAGACACCCAGGTTCCTGACTGGCTGGTGAGTTGAACCATCCAAGGGCAGGTCTGCGAAGAGGAGGCGGTGTATGAGGATGGAGTGGTCGACAGTGTCGAAGGCGGCAGAGAGGTCGAGGAGGACAAGGAGGCAGAAGGAGCCCTGATCAGAGATGTTCAGAATGTCATTAGTGACTTTGACCAGGGCTGTTTCCATGCTGTGGGCAGTGCGGAAGCCGGATTGGATTGGAAGTCTAATGATTTATGTAAGTTTAACATTACTTCCTTAGTTTTATATTCTAAACCCCTATTTATAAAATTTAGGATTACATTTGCTTTGACAGCTTTGTCCACCTGCCTTTCCTCTATTAAGGATTTATTTACACTAACCGCTAAGTGCCTCTGCTCTTCCACTCCTTTTAAAATGTTACCACCTAACATATACTTGCTCCCTGTATTCTTACTCCTAAAATGTATAACCCACATTTGTCTACATTAAGTTTCATCTGCCATCTCTCTGCCCAATCAACTAATCTGTCTATGTCTCCCTGAAGTTGCATACCATCTTCTTCAGTTTGCTACATATTGGGAGACGACTTCATAATATTGCACTATTTTAAATTTTATTTGAGATGGTTTTGCAACTAGCTTATAAATACCTGTACAAGGACAACCACAGTCCTTGTGTATTTTCTTATATACCAAGCAGTACAAAATGCTTGATGACATTTTCAGATTTGCAACTAAATGAAGGAAAACATGATCGCAATAAGCAGCTGGTTAGCTGATAGGTATGGTTGATAAAGACAGTGCAGATTGCCACATTAAGTTTCCAACAAGTCAATAACTAAATCTATTTACATTCAATTAAGTCATGATGGCTGGAAAGAACTGTATGCTCTCATTCCATGTCGATATTTCAGTAAATATTCTTACTTACAGTTTGCATTTATTGCAGGATATCTAACCTGAAGAAAATATGTGGCTCATTCTTTACACTTGAGTGAGATGCTTTTTATTTTAGTTTTTTTCATTTATATAGGTTCATCTTCAATGTTAAATCGGTAGGAGATGTATTTTATAATAGTGCTGCAAATACTAAAGATCACTCTCCATTGCATTGTTGTTTACCAGATCCTATGGCAGCATATTGGATCTTTTAGAAAAGTTAGAATTGATGTATTTGGTTAGTTCACTCACATTCACATATATATATATATATATATATAAATTTACCCTTTACTTTTGTATTGTTCAAAATCATAAATTTAAATATCAGTATGGTCAGATACATATAGATGCAGACTCCTAAAATAACGCTGAGATATTTTTTTCTGATTAAAGTGCAGCCACTAGGTGGCATATACTAAATGGAATGAAGAACAAAGAGAGATCATCACCAACAAAGATTCATCATCCCACTCTTCCAGGCTCACACTGGCTAATTTATACAACAGGCATCAGTAGCAATAAAAGAGCCTTCAACCTACTTATTAACCATCCAGCTGGAGAACTGGCACTGTGCAAAAATGATTAATTGGGGAGAGAAACAAATAGCAAGTAAATAAAAATAGAGATGTAAAGGCAAAAATAAAAATAAATTTCTGAGACATAAAAATCACAGAGCTAAATAAATATGCACTATATATGTATATGCATTAAAATCTGTGGCTGAAAGCAAGAACAGAAACTTAATACTTGGAAATGTAAACATTCATGTAAACAGGAACTTATAAAATTGCTTCAGACATTTCATGAAAATGATAAAATAATTTGGAGACTGCAAACTAAAGGATTTGGGGAAGCAAAACAATACAATACTGCATTTGATACACTTGGACAGTTGCAGCAGTCTTTATTAAGTCCTGTGTACAACACTGTTATGCTGTAAAGTCTGTTACACAATTATAAAACTCGTTAGTTCCTCTTAATCCCACTAATTGAGACGTTACAAGGAAGCAATAGGACTCAATCTACAAGGAAAAAAAACTGGTTAAAATCACCTCAACCCCTGGAGTAAGTACCCCACGTGTCAACAATGATTCACAAAATCATACATCATCTTATAGTTGTAAATAACTTTAAAGGATAAGAATCAAAACAAATTGTTGGAAAGAGATCTGGCAAACACAGAGGATGGACAGAAGTTTGAACATCTGAGTCTTCAGTGAACAAATTCCTCTGGGATACATTTGGGAGTTTAGCTGAAGGGTGAAAGTCCACAACCTTTCTACAATAATGAGTGGCAGGGCTTTGCTTGGACTCCTTTAGCTCTTTAATAACTTGTCAAATAGCATCAGCACTTTGCATAATCTCATGCCAGTACTGGGTGTAGCACAAGAATCTTCAGTGCTTTTTTGTGTACTCTTTCCCTTTCTGTATCATTTTTTTCTTCTAAATCTGGTGCTATTAACCAGGCTAGGAACATCCTCTGCGTTTGCCAGATCTCTTTCCAACAATTTGTTTGGATTCTTGTCCTTAAAAGTCGTTTACAACTATAAGATGAGGTATGATGGTGGGGGAGGACAAGTTTGCAGGGCTATGGGGAGAAAGCAGGGGAATGGGATTGATTTGGATAGCTCTTTTCAAAGAGCTGGCACAGACACGATGAGCCGAATGGCCTCCTTCTGTGCTGTATAATTCTGTGATGATAGATTTAATGACAGGTTGGTGAAATATTTTGAGCCATTTTCTTCAGTAGCGGCCAGCTGTCTACTGGTGTTTCACTGCAAACATCTAAAAGCTCCATCTAGGTCTGAAGATATCTGCAAATATGATGACCTTTTACAGACAGAATACAGAGGTTAAGGGAGAAATCCTCAGTTGCTAAATCAACTCCAATTCCAGAAAGACTGGAATTGAAAATGAGTTCCTTCCAACTGGAAAGAAGCTGCAACTTCAATCATCATGGATTTTCTCAGCTTTTCAACCAATTTTTGCCCTTTCTTTTCCTATTACTCATGAAACCAGTGGTAGAAATGAAAAGAATTTCAATTTATAATCAGTGGGAATATACAATTTATAGCATGTTTTAGATGAGATTATCTTGGGGTTGTCACAGATTGAACTGCAAGTACTTAATAATAATAATAATATTATTATAAGTGCAAGTACTTGACAAAATTTTAAACTATCAAATTTGCAAATAAAATTGAAATCACGGCCGA